CATTATATACCTCTGCTCTGTCTCCTCTAGTATTTCAATTATTTTTTTCTCCCTACTCTTCTAGGTGTAGAACATCTGTTCAAAATAATATTTCCAAGGGCTATCATAAATTTTACTCTAATTACCTTAAGGCAATTAAAATAAGGAAGACACATACCTGATCCTTTACTGGTGTTACGTAACCTTTCTCCCTCCAGTCAACCGATTTCGGAACCTCCAAGTAGTTTGGCTCAAGAAATTGTGATCCTTTATATTTCTTTTGAGATGGAGATTGCTTAAAGCCATTCATCACTTGCTTAAATTCTTCATTAGTCTGAAGAAAGAGGAGATTCATCAGTGTGACATGCAAACAATTACTCAAGAAAAACAGCCTTGCAATTTTGGCCATCCATACCATGTCTCCGAAATGATTCATTCCTAGTCTGTAACTGTGTTTGCCTAGACTGTGGTCCAGATTGTGCAATTCAATCATTTTCAGATTCTTCTCCCAGATCATCCTCCTCCAGCCTTCTTCCTTCTATGAATGAGGAACAAAATATGCAGAATTTTATTGCTAGGATTTTCTAGTCAGTGTTTGTATTAATTTAATTTGGAAATTACCATCAAATCAAGCTGCTGTTCTTTTACTTTTATATCTCTTATATTCTATTCTATTTCCAAAAGGGAATCCATTTATCAATTTAAATTATTGCAGAAACTTTGATTCAAAACTATAATTATCTCAAACCACATTTTGATAATTTAGCCCAGACACCAAATCACCATGTTTTTTAAAATGTATTTGTAACGGTGCCTAATTAACTATTTCTAATGCCTGACTTTTTGCAAGAAAAACATGTTTTATACCTTGTCAATTACCAAAGCAATCATGCTCTTAAATCTTAGAAGAGGCTCACCTCATGATAGTTCTTGCTGTGCCATGTTTTCCAGCTCAACCAGTGATTGTCTAAAGCAGGATCTAAACCTGGAGCAGCAAAGGAGACCCCGAAACTTAGGGCCAAAATGCACAGATAGATCTTCATCATGAAATGTCTAAAAAGAGTGTGAAAAAATTGTGCAATTAGAAAAAAAAGATCTCTCCTACATGAGATGAGAATAAACATACAACCTCTCTTCCATCATCCTGATAGAGACAAACCAGGCAGGCATTAATTTGTGTCAAAGCAGAATAGCTTAGTATAGTTCGTGAACACAGCCGCAAAGGAGCTACTGTCTGCACTCATGAATGTGAAAGCAAACAATGACTATGAAAATTTAGTTGAAATGCCGCTGGCTCCCATCCCATATCAGTAATTTGATTTTATGTAGGTACTTTGCAATTTGACAACAACTAATTGAGGGCAGCAATACATAAAGCAACTTATTTATTGAATGGTTTTAATTCTTGTACACCACCTATCATCACTGCTATGGCTTGAGCAGCAATAATAAACAAACAAGAAAACTATATTAAAAAAAAATCCCAAACGATGAATCACGTTTAGCTGAAGTATTATTAATGTATATCAACTCAAAATGATGTACTCATTATTGTAATTGTATTATCTTTTTTCAAAGTGCTCAAAGGTAAATTCTGAGGGGAGGGACCCAAATTTTATCCTTGCAGCCACTTTATAAGAAAGTTACTGTGGAAGATCATTGACTCACAGGGAGCTCAAAGCGAGGAAGAATCAAATGACATTTTTAAATCATAGTTACATGTTTTATTCGTGGAATAAGTGTGGATTAGGGAAGTGATCCACCTTAAATTCCTCACAATTGCCATTCCATTGCCAAAAAGTAAAGATAAAATCTCTTTCAGGTGTGGCTTGATTCCTGTGGCCTACAGGGACACATCCATGTGGAGGTGTTTTGCCAACAAAATAGTGATTTGCCCCTACTTTCTTCTGGTTTGTTTTTTTTTTTCAAATTCATATAGCCGTCCATATCACAAAACAAATTACTCTCGGCTGTGTTCAACAAAGCTAAAAAAACAATAATTAATATAAATAACAATTATTAGAAAGTGTTGAAACTATAGAAACAAAGCTAAAAAAAAGAAAAGAAACAACGGGTGAGGAAATTTTAATAACCATGGAGCCACCTCACTCATTCACCAGTTCCCTGAGGTCCTTAGAACTAATGGTGCAACCAGTTCTGGAGGGATTTTCAGAAAGTCAATGATATTCTCCAGCCTGGCTGACCTCAGGGGGATGTTCTGTTTGTTTTCTACTTCCTAGTCAACAGTCTCCCATCCAAACATTAACCAGATTCAACTCTGCTTAGCTCTTCAAGATAGGTAATGATCCACTAAAGAATAGGGATATTTTAGTAGCAAACGCTTTCTCTTTTCAGAGCAACAACTTCAAGTGGGGCCGTAGTTAAAGAAGATTAGAATTCTCTTTCCCTTGCACCAACATGGAATGGGCTACTCTACTTTCTGTACAATAAGAAAAGTGTATTGTTAGCTGTATCTTTACAGCTACGTCTTGGCTTTGAAACCTAGGTTGAGTGTGTGTAGCAATATAGCTGAATGAACAGAGGGAAAACATATTTTGATATGCTCCCCCCAAATTTAAATAACTGGGCTAAGAATGTAATTAACCTGCTTTCTCTCCCTTCCTTATTTTCAAGAGATGTAATACTACAGAGTCCTTAACATTGGAAAGAAAGGGAGATGGAAAAGGAGAACTAAAACATTAGAATGAAACTTGGGAACGAAGGTGATTCAGGCAACCACAGATCATATACCACTAGCACTGCTTTTCGTTTATTCCCCTTTTGCCTGTCTTTCACCATCCTTCACTTCAGTCAGTCGGAGAAGTCAAAGGGTGCTAATAGATATCCGTCAATTTGGCAATTCAGAATGCGATTGCACGATAAGATGTGACTGCAGGTAGTCCTCGACTTAACGGCCGCAATCGAGCCCAAAATTTATGTTGGCTAAGTGAGACATTGGTTAACTGAGCTTTGCCCCCATTTTACAACATTTCTTGCCACCGTTGTTCAGTGAATCCCTGCAGCTGATAAAAGTTAGTAAAGACGATTGTTAAACCAATCCGGCTTCCCCGTTTTGTCAAGAGGGTCACAAAAGGGATCACATGACCCCTGGGATGCTGCAACGGGTCATAAAGTGTGAACCAGTTGCCGAGCATCTGAATTTTGATCCCATGATCATGGGGATGCTGCAAAGGTGGTGACCGTGAAAAAATGGCCACGAGTCCCTTTTTACAGTGCCTGTGTAACTTTGAACGGCCGCTAAATGAACTGCTGTAAATTGAGGACAACCTGTATATACCAGTACCAACTAGGTCAGGGGTCTCCAACCTTGGCGACTTTAAGCCTGGTGGACTTCAACTCCCAGGGATTCCCCAGCCGGCTGGGGAATCCTGGGAGTTGAAGTCCACCAGGCTTAAAGTCGCCAAGGTTGGAGACCCCTGAACTAGATTATTTGTCCAGCCTTTTTTGCTCCATCCACCCTTCCCGCCAGATGGATCGCTTCCCTCCGTTCTTACTCCCAGCGGGAAGAGAGGAGAGGAAACTTTGTAGCGATTTCCGCAGTTCGCCGATACGATTTTTGTTGTTGTTGTTGTAAAGGACGAGAGTGATAACTCCTCATAAAGCGCATTAAATGACTCGTCCTGCCATATTCCGGGAATCACTTCCGCTGCCCTGACTGCCAAGCGGGGGTGGAAGGGGGGGCGGGCGGAGATGCGGGGGCCTCCTCCTGGGACTCGAGGGAGGGGGGCGCTTGCGGCCACGTGACCCGTCTCCAGTAAACAGATACCCGAGCCCTCCCTTTTCCAGGCGCCGCCAGGCAAGGCGAGAGAGAGATAGAGACAGAAAAAAGGCCGGGATATGCAAGCTACGAATTGGGGGGGAGGGAGGGGGTGGGAGGGGGGGCAACCGGTCCAAGCCGACGGGCTTCCAGAGAAAAGACAGGAAAGCAAGCCCAGGTCGAAAGGGGAAAAAAGGCAAAACAAACGGAGGGAGAGGGAGTCGCCCAAAAAAAAAAAAAAAAAAAGAGCGAGGATGACGCAGGACAGGCACATTCCTCTACGCCCGGGACTCACGCCAATCTCTTCTTAGCTTTCGTAAACAGAGACCAACAACTAAAAAAAAAGAGGCGCGCCCTCGTTGCCCTCGGCTCGGAAGGGTGAGGAAGCAAATCGTTGGGAGCCGGGTCCCGGCAGTCAAAGCGAAGCAGCTTTTTTGCACGATGGTCCTCCTCCCCGCTCCCAAGGCAACAACAGCCGATCGGCAGCTTTGGGGTTTTTTTTTTCTTTCTTCCTGCGATCATGGAGGGGGTCGGGGGGGGGAAAAGAAAAGCCTCCAAAGCTTTACTGAATCGAAGATCCACCAGGCTCCCTTGAACATTTTACTTTTCACTGGAATCGATGCGGATCTTCCCGCTTCTAAGCGATGGATGGATCATAGATCGTTTCCCCCTCCCCCATTCTTTTTTCCCCTTTTTCTTTTTATAAACAACGAGTCGTTTATAAATCCCACTTCGATTCCCCCTCCCCCAATCTCCATCCCGTGAGTTGCACACACACACACACACACACACACAGAGAGAGAGAGAGAGAGAGAGAGAGAGGGAGAGAATGACCTAAACTCATCCAGCCGGCTTTGATGCTTAAAAAGATTCCCGGTCCCAGAAAGGCCGAGAGATGAAACCGGTGTAAAAAAGAAAGGAAGACCCACCGACGCTCTCTGGCATCCCTAATTTCATACCCCAATTCCGCGGTCCAGGACCAAGAATTCAGAAGCGCTGCTGGAGGCGAAGGTCTCTCGCTCTCTTTCCCTTTCCCCCCCCCACAGAAAGGTTGGAAACCCCTCGCCAGCTAACACGTACCGGCCTTACCTGTAACAGCGACCAAGAGCCCCTCTTCGCTCTTTCTGTCTGTCTCCGGGCCGGGGTCTTCGCTCTAAGTCTGCTCAGCCTGAAGCGGCCCGGCCCCCTTCTGGCGCGCGGATTGGCTACCAAGGCCCGAGGGCGGAGCCAGAACTAATCCGCGAAAAAGCGTGACTCCCGATCCCGTGATGCCCAGAGGTACTCAGACCTGTTGGGGATGGAGGGGGGAAGAGGAGGAGGAGGGGGGGGGAGATGCTAGGACGTGACGGAGGGTGGTGGGGTGGGGAAGGAGGAAGCTCTGGTGTCTTCTGGAGAGGGAAAAAAAAATCAGCTGAAGAGGCGGAGTCCCCCCACTGAACGGCTGAATCTCAGTGCTCTCTGTTGGAAACTCAAACTGACCTTGCAAAGCCAATAATGAAAAACATCTGAGTGCCCCCTTCACCGTAAAGTTCAGACCATTTCGTTCCCGAGTCGTAGAGATGCTGGTAACTAAGGAGTAAGGCGCTCCCTTCTCAAGCCCTTGGTTTCCTAAGGCTGGGGAGGAAGGGACTTGGGAGTCCTACGAAATTTTTATCGGCCCCCAACGCTTCCCGCTTCTACCTCATCTTTTTATGTTGAGATCAAATGATCATCTCTTTACAAACCGGGCTTGTTTCCTCTTAGTTTCTGGCTCTGGAAGGGTCTATACAAATTCTATGTCTATTAGGGCCTCTCTCATGCCAATGGCAACCTCTGGTCTTAAATTCTATAATGCAGAGTTGGGTTTTTTTTTTTTTTTATGTGGAGGACTGCTGGTCATTCATAAGGGAGGGAAGGAACATGCTGGATTGTTGTCCCTGTACCCCCCCTCCCCTTGAAAGCTACTTCATATGTTCTCACAAGAGTTTGCAAGCTCTGGGTCTGATCCAGGAGTGAAATCCAGCAGGTTCTGACAGGTTCTGGAGAACCGGTAGCAGAAATTTTGAGTAGTTTGGAGAACCAGCAAATACCACCAGAGTGTGGAGGGAATGGAGATTTTGCAATATCCTTCCCCCAGGATTGGGGAGGGAATGGGGATTTTGCAGTATCCTTCCCTTGCCACGCCACCAAGTTACGCCCACAGTACCAGTAGGGGAAAATTTTAGATTTCACCCTGGTCTGATCCATAAAATAATGTCACCTTTTGGGACCCAAAAAGTGCCCACCTCATCACCCACCCTGGACCCATTGAGATGAGCCATTAAAACCTGGCTCTGTTCCACAGGCCTTGGATTACATGGAATGATGGTCCCTTTGTGTAATGTTCTCTGTTTTTTTTTTAAGCAGGTTCCCCCCCCCCAGACTCTGTCATGGTGTATTTTGGTTTTTTTTTTTACCTGTAATTTAAAAGATGGGGGGGGGGATAGTTTGACATTTCATAAGCAACTAAATATGCAGGAACAAAATGTGGTTAATCTATAAAAGGCAACATAACACATATTTCTACCTGAGATTAAAATCAGGATCATGCCTTTTTCCAAGATAAGCCTGGATTTGCATAGTATGCTAAGCTTTGATGTAATGTTTAGTTTGAGGCTACAAGTTCTGCAAACGCAGCCAATGGTAGTTCATGCAAGTTATGTAAAACCACCCATTCTCAAACTGATGGCTGTAAGATTACAATATCGAACCTACTCCTGAGTAGACATTGTGCTGTAATTCTGCAGTCCAATCTGCTTTTTATAGTTTTGTTTTTGACTGAGTAAGTACACCATGTCACAGAGCCCAGCTGTGCGTAGATGCATGGAAGACTAGCAAGCATTTTCCATCATATCAGTGCTTTGAATATTTAAGGGATTTTTTTTTTTAAAAACAATGCTCTTTAAATGGCACTGAAAATGGGAAAGGAATATCTGCACATTGCCTGTTTTTAAACTGGAGTCTTCATGTCCAAACCAGTCTGACAACATTCACATTAGCTTGTCTGATGTAATGGTCAGCATGACTGGAAGCTTAGGATTCAAGTCACTTGTGAAGTTTGCTGGGTGAAAAAGCAAGCAGCCATTTTTTCAGTGTAGCCTACACGTAGTCGTTGATATACAACAGTTCAGTTGGTGACCATTCAAAGTTACGATGCACTGAAAAAAGTAACTTCTGACCATTTTTCACAGTTAACGACCATTGCAGTGTCCCCGTGGTCACATGATCAAAATTCAGACCCTTGCTAACTGACTTATATTTATGACGGTTGCAGTGTCCCAGGGCCATGTGATCCCTTTTGCGAACTTTAAGCAAAGTCAATGGGGAAGCCAGATTCACTTAACAACCATGTTATTAACTTAATAACTGTAGTGATTCACTTAACAACTGTGGCGAGAAAAGTCGTAAAATGGGGCAAAACTCACTTAACAAATCTCTCACTTAGCAACAGAAATTTTGGGCTCAATTGTGATCATAAATAGAGAACTACCTGTACTTCACTGGGTTGTTTTAAGAATAAAACAATAGAGGGAGAACAATTTATGTCATCTTGTGCTTCTTGGAGAAAAGATGGGCCATAGATAAAAAAAATAAATTATAAAACACATGGAATATAAGTGCCCTTGGTAGATTAAAATTTGAGGATTGTATAATGTTTTAAACTATCTATTCTATGGTTCTCTACTAACCAATGTAGGGATTTCTGTTGAATAATTGCATTCTTATTTGGTGAATTAAATGATTAATGGACAAGTTACGAGTTTAATTACAGAACAAATTTCTGTTTTTCCATCCATTGAATAACAGTCCATTTAATAAATAATAATTTATCCCATAATGCTTTCAATATTCAATTTCAGGTTAACAAAGATTACAGAGTAAATAAGTTGTATTCTTAAATTTTTCAGTGTTAAATCAATGAGTCGTTCATAATCACCTGATCCAAGAAATCATGTGAGAGTTTTAGCTGATTTTAGGGATGATTGAATTTGCCATGTATAAATTAGCTTAAAGAGATTAAATACAAATCTTTTTTTTTAAGTTAAAGAATAGGTAATTGTTGAAGAATAGGTAATTGTTAAAAGAATAGGTAATCTTACTTTACAGATAGCTCTGTAGTTTATAAACTGATACTATTCAATTCTTTAACAATTTGAATATTTTTTGCACCTAGAATCAAAGATTCTTTGAAAATGTTATTTGTGTATGTGTTAGGAGTGCTAAAGATAATATAGTAAGGACAGATATTTATTTTCATGGAAAAAAAACCAGCTCCTAATATGGACAAATATATGCTTTGACTAAGACTTTCTGCCCTCCTACTTGGAAGTTGGTTTAAGTGTATAGTTTTTTTAAAAAATCCTTAAATTGGATTTTCTTCCTCCACCCTCCATATTATTCAGAAATAGAAGTCAGCTTCTTGTTTTTACCTTGTATAAATCATTTTTTGCATTGTGTGGTAGAATTACAAAAAAAATCACAGTGATTTGCTTCTATCCAGAATTGTTTCTACTCACTTTGCATAACCATACACTCACTGCAGCTTTTGGACAAAATGTCAAACAAAGCCGCTAATCACCCCCAAGTGCCTTTTTGAATTTCAAAACAATGAGACTGGGAATTGTTTTTATTATCTTTACATTAAAATATGGCAAGGTAAAATGGATGAAGCTTGTGACTATCAATTCAGTAATATAATCAATGCAGTGGAACTTTAAATGCTTAATGCATCTCACTGCTACCTAGAAGTCACTGCTGCTTAGAACTACCAGTTAATACTGCAAAGAAATCACTTCAGAATACGCGTAGGTACATTTAGTCGAAAGTAATTTCAACTTAATACCAATGGATCTGTTAACATGCAGCCCAATTCTATGCTGGGGTTCTTAGGAAAGAAACTGCATTCTCTCCCTTTATATACAGAGACAGTTTTCTTTGTACATACAGTACTTAAGACTAGTTTAACTTGTTACATTATAGTTTTAATGTGCTTTCTATTTCAGAGCAATGTGAAACTGTAATGCCAATTTCTAACAAAGTCAAGATGACTCTAAAAACTACAGAAAGGGATTTGATGCCCCTGGGCTTCAGACTGAAAGGATGGAGGAATTACACCATGGTTTGGTCATAGGTGTACACATACTCATTCCTAAGGATTATAACCCCAATTCAAAATGTTCTGCTTGGTTCTTTTCCAATAACAAAGAAAATTCCACATGAGATTGGTTCATGGTTATTTGTTCCTGTGTTTGTTTTCTTATGGGCTCTCCTCATTCAAGATATGTTCAACAAGAAACAAAATTCAGAATATAGGCGGTGAAGAAAAAGGCAGGTACTCTCTATTCATATAAGCTCACATCTGACCTTGCATTTTTACTAACTGTACCCAGCTGATAAGGCAGTAAATTGCTGAGTAATTAGAAGCAAAGGAAAAGCAGTTGCCATTAAAAGATAAAATATCACTGAGTTTAAAATCTAGTGAAGATGTGGACATAACCAACTAGTTTTCTAATGTTCTTCTAGATGATCTTCACCATGTTCAAGGGTTCTTTTTTGTTTGTTTGTTATTTCTTATCATTCTTAGATTTTATTTAGATCTTCTAAGTAAAACCAGATCTGAACCGGCTTAGATTATTTTTTTAAGTTTTTCCACCCAGGTGTTCAAATAATAGAATCATTGTGTTCAGGTGGTCTTCTACTCTATCGTCAGGTGATAGAATCATCATCAGGTGATCTTCTACTCTAATCTCCCGCCCAAGGTAGAAATCCTCATACTCATTTCAGATGAATGCTGTCAATTTTTTTCTTTAAAACCTCCAGCAATGGAGCATCCACAACTCCAGAGGCAAGCGGTTTCATTGCTCAATTGTTCTTACTACCAGGAAATTCCACCTTATTTCCAGGGTAGACTTCCTTCTGTTGAGTTTCCAACCATTGCTTCTTTTCCTAGCCTCAGGTGCTATGCAGAATAAATCGACTCCCTCTTCCTTGTGGCAGCCCTTCATATATTGGAAAACTGCTATCATGTGTCCCCCTCATTCTTCACTTTATTAAGCTAATTCCTTTGACTGTTCTTCATAGGATTTAGTTTTCATATCCCTTTGTTGATCGTCTCTGAACTCTTTCTTTTCTTTTTTTTAAAATTTTTTTTATTAAGTTTTCCAAGTTAAAATCAACATAAGACAAAAACATTGATTATACATAAAAACAAAAACCATACATTCCCCTTCCTCCCTCCCCCATTCATAACACTAAACATACAAACACGTCTATCCTGGCAGATAATATTCCTGCCCTCATTAATAAATAATTATGCCCACAACACAGAATAAAATAAATATTCCCCAGATATGGTTTTCATACAATTATCTTTCAATCTAGATAAGTATATCTTTCCTCATATTGACTTAGGCCCTCACTTCATCTCAATCCTTTTATTCAACCACCAATACCAACTGTTCCTACTTTGAAAAAGTTCAGAATCCTCTTTTTCTTTCAACCTATATGTCATTCTGTCTGCTTCAGCGCACTCTAATACTTTATTTATAATTTGGGCACTAGCTGGTATCTCTTTTTCTTTCCACTGTTGGGTGAACACTATTCTAGCTGCAACTAAAATATGTAGAGTGAGATACCATTTTTTCTTACTCAGCCCCTCTGGGCGAATACCTAGGAAATATATCTCAGGTTTCCATTGGATGTCCACATTAGTAATTTCCTTAACCCAATTCCTAATCCTTCTCTAATACCTCCTTGCCATTATACAAGTCCACCATTGATGGAAATATGTACCTCTGGTTTTCCCACATTTCCAACATAACTGTGATGCACCCGGAAACATTTTAGCAATTTTTGCTGGTGGGAGGTGCCACCTATACAACATTTTATATGCATTTTCCTTGAAAGACGTTGCCGTCTCTGAACTCTTTCCAGGGCCTCAGCCTCTTTTTCCTATTGTGGTGATCAGAACTGGACTCAATGTTCCAATGGGGTCACACCAGTGTAGTACAGAGTGATACTATCACTTCCTGTGATCTTGTTGCTGTCCCTCTTTTGACGCAGCCTAGGACTGTGTTAGCTTTTTTGGCAGCTGCTGCACACTGCTGACTCATACTAAGAAGTGGTCCACCAGGACCCCTAGATTTATTGGGTCAGGTGCTGCCTATCCTATACCTCTGTATCTATTTTTCCCCTTTTATGTACAAGATCTTACTTTTCTCACTAATGAACTACATCTTGTTGGCTGCGTATAATAAATCTATATATATAAAAGTAAAATACTACTCAACGTATCACATATGTTCCTCTTGGCTTCTAGGTGCTCACTAAGAAAGGGTTTTTCGAAATGACCATCAGAGCATTAGTATTTCCTTTATTATTATTATTATTATTAATGCGCTCTGATGCTAAAGAGTTCTACTCCCCCTCCACACCTGTGATAAAAACTACCAATTCAGGCGAACTTATAACGATGGTGACGGGTGGTTCGAACAACTGGTAGCAATGGCAGTGCAAGGCTCCACCCACCTGCTCGGTCATTGTTACTTCCTTTTAACCAGGAAGTAAACCTGTTTTTTAGTCTCAGCGCATGCGCAGAAGGGTTTGCACATGCGCAAAGGGTCTGTGCACGCATGTGACTCGCATGCATTTCCAAACCGGTAGGGAAGGTAAGTAGATTTCACCCCTGGGGAAAGGCCACGCCTCCAAGCTGTAGCTTTTGAAAGCCAATTTCTTTCCAATTTGCTGCCCATCTGTAAATATTATTATAATTAGGAAATGGGAAGTTATTAGAATTAAATCCTTGCTCAGTTCTTTCAGAGAGGAGGAAAAGGAATAAATCTTTAAAATAAAATTCACTCCCAACCCTAATTAGAATTTCAAATACCATTCAAATCCACAAAGAGCCTTGGTACTACAGTGGTTTAAAGCACCCTGTTATTAACACAGCTGCCTGCAATTTACTGTTGGTTCGAATCTCTCCAAGGCTCAAGGTTGACTCAGCCTTCCATCCTTTCTAAGGTAGGTTAAATGAGGACCCAGTTTGTGGGGGCAATAAGCTGACTTTGTATAAATATACAAAAGTATGAAGGCTATTGCTGAACACACTGTAAGCCGCCCTGAGTCTCCGGAGAAGGGCGACATATAAATCAAATTAAAAAAACAAAACAAAAAAAACTACACAGAAATAATCTTGCAAAGAACAAAAAAACAAGTGAGGGGTCAGAAACAACAATAATACATCAACATCTGGGATCAAAATCAGGTTTCAGAGCTTGTGAGATATGGTAACTGTTTGGGGCTGGAATATTTTTTCCCAGAAACTGGAGAACTGGATATGCAAAACTCCCTCGGAACATTGCCTTAAAATGCTTAATTAAATGGAATATTTTGTCAGTTAAACTAAATGATGTATTAATTTGGGATATCAAGAAATTAATGGAAGTTTTTTTTTTCAATTAATGATGTGCTGTGTTAAGCTTTGATGTGGTTTTTCTGAGGCTCTCTCTACTGTCTTAATTTCACCCCCTGAATCTTGATTTAATTTATAAACACGTACAACTACAAGCCTCATCTATATAGCACTCTAAGTCATAAAGGGATTTTTTGGCTTGGCACAGTCAACACATTTGACTACTTTGAGCAAATCAGTTATGTAACTATGACATATGTTGCATGAACATGACATTAAACATATTTATTGTTGCAAGTTCCAGACTGGGATCATACTTCATACTTAAGGCACAATAGGATTTGTGGTAGGTTGTGTTTCTTCAGACAGGTTTGATGAAGCTGTTAACCTGCCTAATAGGGTCTTGAGCCCAGCATATTGTACAAACTAAGCATTTTGGTCATTGCCAAGTCAGAATATCAACAAAGTATATTAAAATCATAATTTACTCTGACAAAAGGAGGAGGATGGATGGATTACTTCAGTTATCATCAATGACTCTGTTGAATGGAAGATGGAAGATGAATGGAAAGGCTGTGTTTGATTTTGGGGTTCAAATCTTCTATTAATGTTGCCCAAATGTATTTGGGGACAGAACTGTCATCAGCAAGATTCCCTCTTTGAGGGAGATGGACAGTTCAGAAATGTAAAAACATAATTAAATAAAATTATGGTTGAGGTGGGCCCGAAATTGTAAATATCAAAAGTTATTTGTATCATTGAAAGCTCTGTTATTGTGTTTACCTTTTAAGACAAAAGATGTTAATGTACGAGTTGTTTTTTCTAAACTAAAACCTCAGTATTCAGGTTAAATTGCCGTTGTAGCATTTTGTGAAAAATAAGTGGGTATTGGGTTGCAGTTTGGGCACTCGGTCTCTAAAAGGTTCGCAATCACTGTCCTAGGGAACCACTTATCACTTTTGACAATCTTTACTTCTCTATCAAATATAAACCAGGATGGGTAGTTTACAGGAAAAAGGCACACACACACACAGGTTCCTTCTATGATGTCTGTCACAGCTTTATGTCTGCCATCCTCTATACCTGGTTCCAGTTCAAGTTGAGTTTGACTGTGGCAACCATGAAGCTTCTTTTTTTTTGGCAACCTTACAGTAGTTTGTTTCTCAGCTATGATCTCATCATTTCATTTCATTTTTCATTTCTCAGTGCCCCCTTCCCAAAATATAATCAATTGGATCAAAGATCAGCCAAGGATGACTAAACAGTTAACTCCCACTGGCTGGTGGTAGGACAGGAAAAATTCATTTATTTTTAAACTTCGGACCAGTTGCCATAGTTTAACCTGTTTAGATACTTTTTGGCCTGGATGATTGTACCTTCATTCATTTATTTTCTTCTTTTCATTCTTTGGACACCCCTCCTAAAAAAAAATAATTGCATGTTTGCTATTGAAGAGCCTTTCAAAAGCTTTGGTCAGCAACTTGAATTCCTAAGAGGTCCCTAAGAAATTAAATCATGGTAACGATACTGATACTGTTCTCAATGAAGACACAGAATTGTGTGTGCAATAATATCTAAGGTTTGATTGTCTGTTACTGTTACTATTTTTCTAGGAAGACTATGTCCTAAAAAGCAAACCTATGTTGTTTTATAAAACAACAGAGGTAGTGATACTGTAAATAGAGCAGAACGAGTAATGGGTTTTTGACAAATGCAGAGGGAACAAGCTAATAAGTTAAGCTTGGCGTGAAAGGAAAATTGTAAAATGATCCTGAGTATCATCTGTGAAATATCACATTGTATATCTACT